ATTAGACCAAGTTATCGTTGGACTATGACAGGTACCCCCATTAGACCAAGTTATCGTTGGACTATGACAGGTACCCCCATTAGACCAAGTTATCGTTGGACTATGACAGGTACCCCCATTAGACCAAGTTATCGTTGGACTATGACAGGTACCCCCATTAGATCGAGACCCCATTCCATTAATGCCAAGCAGACCCATTGGACCAACACTCCATTTAACTAACACATTTTCTCAATGTAGATGAAGACATCAGGCCACAAAGAACTCTCACTGGTTTCTTTTCACACTGTCTTCTGTCCATTTCCGTATCCGGAAATTTGATCGAAAGAAATTTCGTCGACGGTAAATTGATCGACGGTAATTTGATCGAACGGAAATATGGTCGAATCTTTTTTTCCGTTTTTACGATTAAATTTTGCTTCAAATGTCTTTTTGAACGCATTATTTTGTTTTACTATATAGTATAGTGCGTTCAACAAGAAATTTGACGGAAATTTTAACGTGTGAACTGAAAAAAAGATTCGACCAAATTTCCGGTCGATCAAATTACCGTCGATCAATTTACCGTCGACGAAATTTCTTTCGATCAAATATCCGGTAACGGTCCATTTCACGTCCGTCTTCCTGAACAGAAAACACCGCCCACTCTTTTTTTTTTTTAAAGTTATTATTAAATTGTTCTAAAAATAGCTGAGGCACGATTCGTGGTAACGCCATGAACATCACGACATGGGGATGAAATACAGAATTCAGCACATCAAGTGCGGCGACACTTGAAACTTGTTTCCGATATAAGTCACAGTTTTAATTTCAACATTGTACCCAGTTAACTTTGAACAAGTTACATCACTGTCATCAACTCCGTGTGGATCATTTAAAGCGTCAAACCAAAGTTTCTGTTTGTGTACAAATACAAGCTGCACTGTCGGAAATAAATGGGCGCAAATTTATAGTTGTCTTTAGCCCTTCACGACGAACTTTTGGCTTGTGATTTCAGGTGCCTTACATGATCTTGAATTGTCGTGATTTCTTCAGCAGCCTAACATGGCTTTGAAATGTTGTGATTTCCTTAGCCTAACATGGCCTTGAAATAAAGTGATTTCGGTGCCTAAAAATGACCTTGAATTGTCGTGATTTCTTCAGCCTAACATAGCTTTGAAATGTCGATATTACTTGAGCCTAGCATGGCCTTGAAATTTCGTGATTTTTTTCCAGCTAAACATGGTGTAAAAAAAAGTAGTGATTTCAGGTGCCTCACATGGCCTTGAATTGTCATGATTTCTTCACCCTAACATTGGCCTTGAAATGTCATGATTTCTTCACCCTAACATGACCCTGAAATATCATGATTTCTTCAGCCTAACATGACCTTGAAAAGTTCGTGATTTCAGGTGCCTTACATGAACCTTTTTTATTTTTGTTTAATCCCATCATTTTATAAAGAAATAATGAAAGAATCTTCACCAGCTCTAACTCCGGGGGCAATCAACGACTCCTCCAGAGAACTGATTCCCTGGTTTCAAGTATCAATTAGAAATGAAATTCTTCTTATTCAACCATCCACCCTTTTCAGTGTCGACGTAAAATATTGCCTAAAATCATTTTTTTAGCGTCCCCGCTAGAATGGAGCATCAGGATATCTGTACCCCTCTCCCCTTAGCTACTTCTCTGATCACTGTCCCCCCCCCTCCCCCGAAACTCTGAAATGCCGGCGCCCCCCCCCCCCACCGGGGGAGAAATTGTCTGAAAGAAACACTGGTTGTGAGAGGATTAGATCTTTTGAGAGGATTAGACCTTGTGAGAAGATTAGACATTGTGAGAGGATTAGATCTTTTGAGAGGATTAAACCTTGTGAGAGGATTATATCTTTTGAGAGGATTAGACGTTGTGAGGGCATAAGATCTTTTGAGAAGATTCTATCTTTTTAGAGGATTAGACCTTGGGAGAGGATTAGACCTTGTAAGAAGATTAGGCCTTGTGAGAGAATTAGATCTTTTGAGAGAATTAGACCTTGCGAGAGGACAATATTTAGCACAACTATGCCTAACTCAAGGAAAACTAACACCTCTGTTGAGCGTCGTGTCTTCATTTTTAATGTCCAGCAACGGGCAAAACAACATGGCCTCACAAATCTCAATTGGGGAGACACGTGCCTCCCGCGCTGGCAACAAAGGGAAGCAACTGTGACAATACCACAACAACAGACATCGCAACATGCAGCAGACGTCCATCGTGTTTCCACATTATTGTGGTTCGGCACGCCTTTCCAAATGGTTTTGTTACCGGAGAGACCCTTAATGTATATCCTACAGTTTCACAATTTAACGTCTCACTGAACTGTGAAATGACTGACGTCTTTCAATGTACACGTCACAGTCGTGCATGAGAGTGCGTGATTTTGCATGTAACTATGAGTAGCCGAGCGCGTCACAAGTAATAAAAAATTCAACACAATCCTTCAAATAATT